TTTTACCAACGTGGAGCATGTTGGTGAAGTACACAATCAGCAACAAGGATTATGTTGCTGAAAAAGGGGAAAACCACTATCCCCCTCTACTTTTACCAACATAAGCCACGTTGCTGAAGATAGGGTTTTAGCAACGTGACTTTTGTTGCTGAAAATGTCACAAAATTCCGGTGCCGGAAGGAGGATAGATTTTTTGAAATTTTTACCAACATGAGCCACGTTGCTGAAACTCTATCTTCAGCAACGTGGCCTATGTTGCTGAAGGGGGTGAGACATTTCACCCCCAACTTCCACCGAATTCCGGCCAGCTCTTTCAGCAACATGAGGTAGGTTGCTGATACTATATTTTCAGCAACATAGATCATGTTGCTGATGTATCAGCAACAAGAGTTTGGTTGGTAATGTATTACCCACCAAGCCTTCTCCAACAAGGCTTTCAGCAAGCAAATCCATGTTGCTGAAGGGCTTTCAGCAACATGGGAACCACTACATGTTGCTGAAGCTAAGCATTTTAGTAGTGTAGGGCCATCATTGGCGATGTGGCATTGACATGTGAACGTATAACGAAAACTAACATTGCACGTGCTGCACGTGACCTTCTGATATTAGATTTTGTCTTATTTTTTTAAACTCGAAAATATGAAAGATAAAAACCTATATATTGTAATATAAGGCGTAAAATGCCTCAAACTTGAAAAATTAAAGGGCAAACAGAGGGTTTTTGCCCCAACCAACACTTTCATTTTCATTGGGCCACATTATGTTGGTTTGGAAAGGTGGTCATTTCATACCGAAGCAAGCTTACGTGGCCCAATAAAAAACCATGTGTTGGCCGGAGAGTGCAGGAGGCAAGTGCCCCCAGCACTGCTCTAATCAAAATTACTAACAGTTTCCACAAGGAGATGTGCTAAGGACAGTCGCAAAATGTTGTTGTCGGTTCCGTTTCCTCTGTCTTCCTCTCTGCGCCTGCTTTCTACTCTCTCGTTCTCTTTCTTCTCTTAACCGTCGTCTCATCCTTCCTTTAATTCCTCTTCGTCAGACAATAGATCAAATCTGCTTCTTACTCTGCTTTTTTTTTTTTTCCATCCTCATAACTTGTTAACCATTCTTTATTTTTTTTTTCCTCAGTTCTACATCTGTTGCTTGTGAAAGGTGAAGGGATGAGTGGCTGAGTGACAAGGGCTTTCTTAATCTCAATCGTGATGGGTGATATTTCTGAAAACGCGTGTTGTTTTTTGTGCGAGTATGGATTATCATTTCTTGATTTCTTTGCTGGGTTTTGTTTATTTAAGCTTGATTTGGGAGTTTTATTTTTTTTTTTTTTTTGGTTTAGGAATAATAAACTTGAATTTTGTTAGATTTGTTCTCAGTTTTACGTTTGGGGAAATGAGATTTGAAGATTAAAGACCTTGTGAAATCCTTAGTTAGTGCCTTGAATTTTGCATAAATACAGTTTAAGCATATCAAAATTTTGAAGAGAGTGAACTTGCATATCTTTGGTTGATCTTCTGGAGGCTCATGATTTTGGAGTAAAGTTGAAGGAACAGAAGTGCTGAGGAGATGAGAGAGGAGCAAATCTGGGGATGAGAGAGTGCACAGGGCAAAAACCCCTTCTCTTCCATAAATCGTTATAGGAGTCCTAAAAGTCAATTCAACTTTCTCTCTCCGCGCTCTTTTATGATTAAAAAAAATAGCGCGCTTTCTCTCTCCGCGCTTTAATCTTTGGTCTATATAGCGGCGCAGTTGTCGGCTACCACTTTCTATTTAACCACCTTATCTCTCTTTGATTGGAGCACTCGTCTGCTATTCCTTCTTCCGATACAGCACTGAATTCGAGGTTTGGAGCTGTTGCTTGTGGTATCGAAGGGAGACAAAAGCGGGTCGGCATTATGGATGAGACTGTGAGAGTCTTGAATTGAGACTAGGCGCTCAGTCCCACCCATAACAAATGCCTGGGTGGGTATCGCCTCGGTTCGATTGAAATCGAACCTAAATTGATGATTTTAATTGGTTGATTATTTTACAATATAATAATTAAAAATCAAACCAAAAATATTTCGATTATTCGGTTTGATCACTAAATTAATTGATTCGGTTGACATCGGTCTCAGTTTTGATCCATTCTAAACTTAAGCCCTTAGCCCTTTTTTTTTTTGGGTTTGGGCCTTCTATTTTATGGCCTAAATATCCAACAAATGCTTTGTTGAAACAAATGTCCAAAGATTTCTGGAGGGAAGTGTTTGAATTTTTGAGATTTCTTTTGTGAATTTATCTTGATTAACATGATACATAGATCATCTGGAAGGAAAAATTTAAGATTAAGGAAAAAACAGGTGCTTAATTTGTTAAAAAATTAAGATTCTTTTTAGTATATTATTTATAATGCTTATAATTATAATTCTCTTTTATGATCCAAAGCCCATTTAGCTCTACAAAAAATCATCTATTAATTAATGAACGATTTCAACAAAATGCAGGTACAATCAACTCAATTTTTGCAAAATTAAACAACAAGTTTAACCAAAAAAATTAAATTAAAAAATCCATAAACTCAACTAAGAAAAACCCACCTGAGACAACAATATTAAACGATTACATACAAAAAAACTATACCCAAAAATTAATTGCTCCAATCCGCTCCATTTTAGGAAATCTAAACAAAAGTCAGATGCTATATGACAGCTACTGTGCAACCTCAACACTAAAAAAGGAAAAATCCCAAAAAAAAATCAAATAAATTACAATCCCAAATATAGAAAACCACACCCAGAACCAGAACAAACCCATAAACAATAAAAATGTATTAGATTGTGATTAGGTGAATATACAAATCCTGGGCAATTTTTTTAATTGAGTTATAATTTACTTTAACTTAAAAATATTAAACAAAAAATTATAGAATATTGTGGATTTCGACATCATCATGAGCCCTATTGTTCTAGGCAAGAACAGTGCGAATTTAGTCTCTTTTACAAATTATCTTATCTTCTCCACCTAGCAATCTTTCTCTTTTTCTCACTATTCTCTCCCTAATCCTCTCCTTTGTAGAACCAAAGCCTAAAAATTTAACTGAAGAAACCTACAGTTTTCCGGCAACCAGTGGTGGTGGCGGCGGCTAAAGAAAAGAAAAATATAAAACAAAACTCAGTACACATATATATATAAAAAGGAGAGGAAGTGTGACCTTAAAACATGCGACGGTCGCCAATGATTGAGGCCGCACACGGTGGTCGTGAAGGAGAGATATGGAGAGAGAAAGAGACAAGAGATCTTAGTAGGGCTTTGATTTCAGATTTGTAAAGATATGAAAATAGACTGTTAAAGGGAGAAAATGAGGAAAGGAAGTGAGAAAAAAGAAAGTGAAAGTGAAGTGAGAAGGAAATATGAGAGATTAAAGATGAGTATTCCATTCGAAAATTAGAGGGAATGGTTGAAAATTTTTAAATTGGGATGGGGGGAAGGTTTTGGCGGAGAGTTCGGAAGGCGAAGGAGGCAGGTAGATGAAAATTTGCAGGGGAGGGTGAGAGGGAATGAATGAAATTACTCAAATTAGGGTTTTTCTTTTAGAATACATATATTTTATATTTCCTTAAAAAATATTACGGGTTTTCGAGTTTATTATTGGGTTGTTCAGTTCTAAGCAACCGAACACCACACCGTTTGTAATCGGTTGAGGCCCCAAACTACTACTTGGGCCTGAAGCCCGTTTGTGCCCACACCGCAAGCCCAATTTTGGTGCGGTTGTTGGGCAACCGATCGATTGTCCGCGTACATGCCCAGCCCTACAAATGCCTACCTGTTTTGAAATTTAATTATATTTAAAATTAATAAAAGGATTTAATTACTAAGAGTATATTTTTATTATAAATTTATATAAAAAAATATAAAAATTAATATTAATTTTTCTATTATTATTATATAAATAAATTTAATTAAATAATTAATAAATTAAATCACTTTTGTATTTTTTAAAGAACTTTTAATCTATATTTTAAGAACTTGTTTGATGTAACAGTTAAAATTTAATGAATAATGAGTTATAGATAATGGATGGTGAGTAATGGATAATAATTAATAGATAATGAGTAATGGATAAAAGAAAATCAATAATAAATAATAAATAATAGATTCGATTGATATAATTATGTAATTATAAAATAATTAATAGTTGTTGTTCAATATTAAATAACTAATAAA